ATAGTTGTATCAGCTGTTGGTCCTGTCTGTAGATCTGTTATTTTCCCACCTTCTGTAACAGGGTGACAACCCTGATCATTCTGCAGGAACATTACACAGCAGCGTTGTCACCCTGTACAGGGAAGTCTTAGATAGATTATAAGTAAGACACACAACAAGTAAAGCCCAACTTCAGCTAACGCTTCTACAGCAGTTACAGCAACAGGTTCTCTATAAGGTCCAACCCCCCATATGAATGACAACTGACAGTTGTGAGCACCCCCAGCAGTGTTATAGGATTTGCCCCAACCCCTCCAACTGCCATTTTTCCCAAAAGACTTGGCCTTCTACAGGAAAGTACAAAAAAAAAAAAAAAAATCTACTGGGAGGGACAACAAAAAAATAAAACAATAGGAGACTCGAAAAACAAAACCTGCTCTGCTAATGACAGATTTCATTATTAATGTCATTAGTGATTTTGCCCATAGTTACACTTTGGTGCCAACGTTGTAATATTTCCAGGGAGAAGAAGTTTTCTTTACAAACTTTCCACCAAAAAGAGATGTGTGCACTCAGAGTGATTATTGTGAACCCCAATCAGAGGAATGTCAGTCCCCCGGAAGAAGTGGTAGGAATATGACCGCACACTCAGCACTTTGTAAGTTCAGATCTCTGGCAGTTGTATTGTGTGATTAGTCTATGGAGAGGAGTAATAGCTGGAAAGAGAAAACATGGAACAAGGATTTCTGATCTTCACCTGATGGAATCCCATTTGGCAGAACCACATGGAACACAAGTGGCCAGCTGGGCTTACGTTTTACTGCTGAATACATCCCCTAAATCAGCAGTAACTCAGTATTGGAAGGCCTGCATCAGCTTGGGATGTTGTTTTTTTCTCACTGAACAGAGACTTCTTTCTAGCTGGTGTCACAGACACAGACCTGCCTGAAAGGTTGTCACCCATGAGATGATATCCTACAACCTCACAAACACCCCCCCTTTCCTCTCTATGATCACAATCTCATCACCTTCACAGTCTCCTCATCTTCAAACACTTATCCCTCCAATCAGCAATCACCTGCACCTGCAGAAACCTTCACAACTTGAACCCTTCTCCTTTCCACTCTGCAACTGACCAACTCTATGACAGAATCTCTCCCCTGTCCTGCCCTGACCTGGCCACTGCTGTCTACAACAGTTCACTTTCATCCACATTAGACTCACTTGCTCCTCTAAACAACATGAAGCATCAGGCCCCGACCATTACAACCTTGGCAGACTGACAACACCAGAGATCTTAAACGACATAGTCGTGTGCTGGAGCGAATGTGGCGTAAAACCAAATCTCACCAAGCATTCACCCGATATAAATCTGCTTTCTTCACATACAATTCCTCCCTCCATGCTGCCAGACAAGCCTACTTTGTCACTCTCATCAATAGCTTGTCATCCAGTCCTCGTCGTCTCTTCTCTACTCTCACCTCCACCCAGTCTCACTCACTGTCTCACTCTCTCATTTCAACTCCACCTCATCTCACTGCTCACTCACTGCAACTCAAACACATTGATTCAAATCTCAAAACACAGAATTGATGCAATTCATATCAGGGACAATCTCCACTGCACAGACATCCATCCCACTTAGCTCTTCTCATACTTACTAAACACTCAACACTCCCCTCAAACTTGCCTCTCTACTAACACTACTGAGACACAACTTTACCTACTACAAACAAGAGGTCACTAATCTTCTCCAGACCCTTTCTCACTACCTTCCTCTCTACCCCTCCTCCTCTCTGTCTACCTAAGAGGTCACTCTCCTCCCTCTCACTACTGCCCCCTCCTCCTCCCCTCACACCTACGGTCACCCTCTTCTCATCTCTATCTCTCACTCACATCTTCAATCTCTCCCTCTCTACTGGTCTCTACTGGTTCCCCCCCTCCTCTAAAGCATGCGCACATCACTCCCATACTTAAAAAGCCCTCCCTGGACCCCACCAACCTGAACAACTTAAGACCCATCTCCCTGCTGCCATTTACCTCTAAACTATTAGAACTCTTAGTCTACAATCGCCTGAGCTCCTCCCACCTCACCGACAACAACCTTCTTGACCCTTTACAGTCTGGCTTTCCTCACTACACTCCACTGAAACTGCCCTACTAAAACAAAACACACTAATGATCTACTAACTGCTAAAACCAATGGCCACTACTCCGTACTCATCCCAACCAATGGCCACTACTCCGTACTCATCCCAACCAATGGCCACTACTCCGTACTCATCCCAACCAATGGCCACTACTCCGTACTCATCCCAACCAATGGCCCACTCTCCTACTCATCCCAACCAATGGCCACCTCCGTACTCCCCAACCAATGGCCACTACTCCGTACTCATCCCAACCAATGGCCACTACTCCGTACTCATCCCAACCAATACTCACCCAACCTGGCCCACTCATCTCCAACCAATGCTACCCACTACTCCGTACTCATCCCAACCAATGGCCACTACTCCGTACTCATCCCAACCAATGGCCACTCTCCGTACTCATCCCAACCAATGGCCTCACTACTCACTCTTACCTCCCAACCAATGGCCACTACTCCACTCATCCCAACCAATCCACACTACTCCTACTCATCTCCTCCAATCTTACTACTTACTCCTACTCATACCCAACCCTCCAGCTTTTGATACCCCAGTTGACCTCCCTACCATCCTCAACTCAATGTCCTCAACTCTACTTTGGCCTCCAAGACAACTGCCACTCTCCTGGTTCTCCTCCTACCTATCCCATGGCTTTAAGATCAGCGTTACCTCATACAACTCCAACCTGCCTCCTCCTCCTCACTCCACTTTCCTGTACAGTCTCCTCAAGGTTCTGTCCTCCTCCCTACTCTTCTCCATCTACACTACTCCTCCCTTTGTCACTTGATAACCTCCCATGGCTTTAAGTACCATCTCCATCCCTGATGACCCAAACTCTAATCTTTCACCCCTCACCCCCTTCATCTCCTCCTCCTCCCCACTCTTCTCCTCCTCCCATCAGCCCAAATCTCCCTCATCAAACTCTCTCGCACTCTATCAGTACCAAGCTCACACTTCCTCATCTGTACTTATCCCCAAATGCTCATCTCATGTCCTCCTTACTCACTCCCTCTTCCTCCCACTCTCACTCCCTCCAAGCTAATACTTCCCTCAAGCCGTCCCCCCCCCCTGACTTCTCCTCATCTAACAAATCATCCTCCTCATGTCCCCTCCCTCATGCCTCACTGACTAGGTGTACTCCACTGACTCCCATCTGTGCTCACTCCACTCCCAATCCAATCTGTCCAAATCTTGTAGACTTCACCTCCACAACAGCTCCAAGATATGGCCGTTCTAACCTCAACTCCCCTCACTAAGCAACTCCATCTCCTTCACAATCCCTCTGCCTATCATCTTGCCTTAACTATCCTCACTCCACCCTCTCATTGGCCGACCTCCCACATTGCAGGCATCCCCCCCTCTGCCAATCCCTCACTGTGCCTCTCTTCATGATCCTCCATCTGCTTCACTCCTCCTCCACTGGCCTAACCACTCCATTTCCTCAGCCACCCTCTCTGCCAATCCCTCCACTGGCCTCCACTCAGTGTCCTCCATCCCCTCTCTGCCTCATCCAATCCTGGCCTCCTCCCCCTCCCTGCCAATCCCTCCTCCCTCTCTCTCTGCCAATCCCTCCAATCCTCTGTCCTCCTCAATCCCTCTGCCAATCCCCACTCTGGCCCCCATCTGTCCCCCCCCCCTCTCTGCCAATCCCTCACTGGCTTCCCATTGCCCAAATGGAAAAATTCAAAACATAAAATTCAAAATAACAAACATATAAAGCCATTTATAACTCCCCCCCAAATTACATCACCAATCTTGTCTCCAAATATCACCCAAACCGTACTCTCCGCTCCTCGCACGACCTCCTGCTCTCTAGCTCCCTTGTCTCCTCCTCCCATGCTCATCTCCAGGACTTCTCCAGAGCTTCCCCCATCCTCTGGAACTCTCTACCCCAATTTATCAGACTATTGCCTACTCTGCTCACTTTTAGGTGATCTCTGAAAAAAACCTCTCTCTTCAGGGAAGCTATATCCTGCCCTCAGCTAATAATGGAATCTTCTACTCTTCCAACCAGTCCATCCCCCACAGTTACTACCTTTTGTACCACTAGCCCCTCCCTCCTAGATTGTAAGCTCTGAGGAGCAGGGCCCTCCTATCCCTCTCTTGTATTAAACTGTATTGTTGCTGTATTGTCTCCATTTATATTGTAAAGCGCTGAGCAAACTGTTGGCGCCATATAAATCCTATAATAATAATAATAATAATAATATGAGAGAGATGAAATGTGGAAAGAAGGCATTGATAATGGGAGAGGAGATGGAACATGTAATGGGGGGAGTGGACAAGGTGGGCTTAGCTGGAGACCTCAAGCCTGGCTGATCATGTATCAATAGTCAGAAGAACCTGGAATGGACTCTCCCACTGAGGCTTCAGAGACTTGGTAAGATGACAATAGACCCCATCCTAGTCTCTGGTACTGAGGCAGTGTTGGTCATGTATTACCTCAGGATCCAGAAATGAAGAAAATGCTTGGAAACACAACTCAGTTGGTGAATCATGAAAATGCATTACATGTTCATTCAAAGCTCCATAAAAAAAAGAGAAAAGATGAGAATCATGAGGGAAGCTGTTCAGTTATTGATGCTTATCTTAAAAAAATTGTCAAAAGATAAAATATTCAAATCCCTTCTAGTTGTGTATTGATGGACATAAGCACTAAACTCAGTTCATCCAATCATTACATTCCAGTTTGCTCAGATTTTAGTTTGTTTTTTTTAAAGTAACATTTTATCTTTTCCCTTCTTCTCTAGCTTGTGGGATGACATTGGGGATGTGAAACTAACTTGTGACACCTGAAACTTCTTTAATATCTCTTTTTTTCCAGAATTTAATCTATGCTGAAATTTGTGAATCCTCCGGTGATAGATTAGACCGGCATTAACTGTAAAAGTTTTGTCACATTTGAGAGCATTAAAATGGCTTCTCTCCAGTGTGAATCCTCTGGTGTGTGATAAGATTGACTTCTGTGTAAAAGCTTTATCACATTCAGAACACTGATATGGCTTCTCTCCAGTGTGAATCCTCTGGTGTGTGATAAGATTGACTTCTGTGTAAAAGCTTTATCACATTCAGAACACTGATATGGCTTCTCTCCAGTGTGAATCCTCTGGTGTGTGATGATAAGATCTTGACTTCTGTGTAAAAAAGGCTTTATCACATTCAGAACACTGATATGCTTCTCTCCAGTGTGAATCCTCTGGTGTGTGATAAGATGTGACTTCTGTGTAAAAGCTTTATCACATTCAGAACACTGATATGGCTTCTCTCCAGTGTGAATCCTCTGGTGTGTGATAAGATGTGACTTCTCTGTAAAAGCTTTATCACATTCAGAACACTGATATGACTTCTCTCCAGTGTGAATCCTCTGGTGTGTGTGTGATAAGATTGACTTCTGAGTAAAAGCTTTATCACATTCAGAACACTGATATGACTTCTCTCCAGTGTGAATCCTCTGGTGTGTGATAAGATGTGACTTCTGTGTAAAAGCTTTTCACATCACATTCAGAACACTGATATGGCTTCTCTCTCCAGTGTGAATCCTCTGGTGTGTGATAAGATTGACTTCTGTGTAAAAGCTTTATCACATCAGAACACACAGTGTTCAGAACACTGTAAAAGCTTTATCACATCAGAACACTGATATGGCTTCTCTCCAGTGTGAATCCTCTGTGTGTGATAAGATAAGATGTGACTTCTGTGTAAAAGCTTTTACATTCAGAACACTGATATGGCTTCTCTCCAGTGTGAATCCTCTGGTGTGTGATAAGATGTGACTTCTGTGTAAAAGCTTTTTATCACATTCAGAACACTGATATGGCTTCTCTCCAGTGTGAACTCTTTGGTGTACTATAAGGTCTCTCTCGCTTGTAAAAGTTTTGCCACATTCAGAACAATGATATGGCTTCTCTCCCATTGTGAACCTGGTGTGTGTGTGATATATTTTCTCTCCATTGTAAAATCTCCAAACAAGAAGTAGTTTGAAATGACTCCTCTTATGTATACTGTGGGTTGGACTTTATTGTAAAGCCATTGTCACTTCCAGAACACTGAAATTCCTTTTCTCCTCCTGAGGCTGGATCAATGTGGAAGAGGATCCAAACCATGACTTTTAGAACACAGATATGACTTGTATCCCGTGTGAATCCTCCAGTGAACTGCAATAAAGACTTTCAGTCAATTAAGACACCCATATGTCTTGTTTTTTTCCATGTGACTCAGCTGTATTCATGAAGACCAACATGACCAAAAACTTGGTTCATCAATCCACCTGTACAAAAAAAAAAAAAAAAAATTTAAAATTCTATATAAAGGGCTACATAAAGTTGCTTTCTATTTTTAATGTTCATTACTAAATATATCTTATGAATAGAAAGAATATGTACAGCATTATCTACAGTATTTTTTTTAATCAAATAGATTTTTTTATTAAAAGTTTATAAGTGCGCACAGTATTCCCAACATTCAGCCCAGACAATGGAGTCATACATTCTCACGTATAGGCAGTTGTGGCACTGTTACAGATCATACAGAACAATAACTTGCTTTGTCTATGGTGTCACTTTTACCTTTTATAAACAAATGAACAGAGAAAAGAAGAAACAACCTAGAACAATTCAGCTGTACACGGCAAGTAACTCCCCCCAGTACATACATAGATAGCTGACACCGATCAATGAGGCCCGTGTCTACAGGATCATACCCCAAGTATGGGTCTCCAATGTAGTCACCATTCAGTAGGATACAACTGGCCGTTCTCCTTCTATGGGGCTAAAAAGAGCTAAGATTTTAAAAGCCTATGAAGAACTAACTAGAGAGTGAGCAAGGAGTATCCAGCCAGTTCTGCCAGACATACATCTCCTGGGGGAATTACAATGTTGGTAAGTTTTTTTTTCACATGTTAATGTGGAGTTCACCTGCTCAATCCACTGTTGTCTGCTGGGAGTTTGAGATGATAGCCAAGATCGGGATATTTTTTATGGTCAAGCAGCCTCACTATTGCTATATGACTTGTAATAGGAGGAGGTGTAAATAATTCCTCCTCTATTGACACCAAGAGGCACACCCGAGGAATATTGAACACCAACATTATAATACTGGTCATATCGTTCCACTTTTTGAATAATTTTGGACATCTCCAAAACATGTGTATCAAATCCCCGACATCACCGCTACAATTGGGGTCATAAGGGGAAATCCCTCCTGTCCTAGCTGAACAATTGAGCTGGAGTCCTGAAAGATCTATGCAAAAGAAATGACTGAGTTTCTGTGAAGAGGACAGAGAGATGAGAGGTATGGAGGTCACAATCACCCCCCACCTCTCTCTCTCTTTTTCTCTGTTTCCCATTTCTTTCTATAAGTCTTCGGTAAGAGTCAAAAGACTGGAAAAATATAGATGAGAGATCATGCCTTTCCCACTGGTGCCATCTGAAGCCCATTAACAAGTGTGAGAGTGATGTGAAATCTGTATCTGATGGAAGTAGCAATCGATGGATGGGATCTAATGTGTCTACTAAGTCCCACCTGGTAAGATGTTGAAGTTGGGCAGCTATAAATATAAAGTCTAACATTTGGTATTGCTAGGCCTCCTTGGTCTTCACCATACTGTAGAGTAGTGAGTTTGATTCTAGCTGACGGCTTCTTCTAAATGAGTTCCCCAAACTGGGAGTCTATACTGGAGAACCACTTACGAGGTGTCCACATGGGAGAATTGTGGAGTATATAGAGGAATTGTGGGGTCCATATCTTCTCTCTTGTTCATAGATTTTATTGGAAAGAGATAATAGTTTTACAAGGAGCTGATAACAATGTGATTGCAGGACTCACCAACAGTAAGTCAGAAGGGGTACAACCCTTAGAGGTAACGTACAGGTTGTAATTTGTACAGTACAAATAATATCTTCATACATTAAAGTGGAGTTCCAGTGAAAATAAAAAAAAATAAAAGTCAGCAGCTGCACAAAAACTGTAGCTGCTGACTTTTAAAAGACAGGGCACTTACCTGTCCCTCGATCTCGTGGTGTCCTCCCCAGCAGCCGTTTCACCGGCCGCCCTGTGTTTCCAGTGCCGGCATCTTCAGTGTGGGCACCCAGCTGTGACAGCTTGCGGCTTCACATCCGGGCCCACTGAGCATGTGCGAGTATCTCTGTGCTTTGTGAATGGTCCTGTAGTCTTCTAGGACCTTTCATGTGTCCCAGAAGACTACAGGGAGGGAGGGGGGGAGGACAACTTCTTCTGATCACCTAGGTGATTGCAGTAGAAGTGGGAGCGGGTACCTGTCAATTTCGGTTATCCCCCCAAAAGGTGCCAGTGGGGTCCTTAACCACTTGCCTACCAGGCACTTATACCCCCTTCCTTACCAGGCCAATTTTCAGCTTTCAGCATTGTCGCACTTTAAATGACAATTGCGCGGTCATGCAACATTGCACTCATATTAAATTTTTATCATTTTTTTTTGACACAAATAGAGCTTTCTTTTGGTGGTATTTACTCCCCGCTGAGTGTTTTATTTTTTGTGCCATAAACAAAAAAAGAGCAAAAAAACTTGAAAAAAAAAAGTTTCTTTGTTTCTATTATAAAATTTTGCAAACAGGTAATTTTTCTCCTTCACTGATGTGCGTTGATGAGGCTGCACTGATAGGCGGCACTAATGAGATGGCACTGATGGGGTGACACTGATGAGCTGGCACTGATAGTAGGCACTGATAGGCAGCACTGCTGGGCACTGACTGGCGGCACTGGGCACTGACTGGAAGCACTGCTGGGTGTCACTGGTGGGCTCTGACTGGCAGCACTGCTGGCACTGACTGGCAACACTGCTGGGCAAAGGTGGGTGGCACTGCTGGGCACTTGTGGGCAGAACTGGTGGGTGGCGCTGCTGGGCACCGATCCTCAGGGCACTGATCATCAGTGCCCTGATAATTGGTGCCAATCCCTCCTCTGACAACTGCGGCAGTAGTTTCCTCATGCTCTCCGACAGCGTGAGGAAAGTGCAGTCAAGAACCGGCAATTACATTTTCGCAGTGACCAGTATGTCATAGGACACAGCAATCACAGAGATCGCCGGGGGGCATGCAGGAGAGCGCGTTCTGGGAGGACGTCATATGACGGCCTCCCAGAACTGGGCGGCTGCAGTGCAGCGTCATTTGGCTACCTGCGGTCATCAACTAGTTAAAGCAGCACTTCCCCTTTTGGGTGGAGCTCTACTTTAACTTCAGCAAGAGATAACAGTGCTATAGTATCAAGGGAGGAGAGTGAATGTAGAGACTGAAACATGTTATATACTCTATAGTATCATTTCTGGTACTCTCACAGTGGGAGTATAGATTTAGTACTTCAACCTGTATGCAGATATCAGTGGCAGACGAGTGGGTGACCTGTCCGCCTCACTGAAAATTCAAACTGATAGTGTAGGTTCCCCCAATTGGGAAAACCCCATAAGGGATAAAGAGCTAATGAGAGGAAAGGTGAAAAGGAAGAGAGCAATGGAGAGATAAGAGCAAGAGTAGTGAAGAAAGGGGTACAGATAAGGGGGGAGGAGAGGAGGTCCCCAGGGGGGGAGGGTGTGTGCCTGTATAGAGTAGCAACTGAGTAGTGGGTTACCTAATGGACTCAGGACTACAAAGAGAGTAAGGTTTCATCAGAGTTTGAGGGTAGGAAATGGTCAACCCATGGTTGCCATAGTTGTTCATTTTTATGCACTCTGTCTAATAGGACGGCTTCTACTTTGACATGTATCGTGGCTCGAGTGACACTATTTTAGTTTCAGTGGTATTGAGGTGGGGGGATTTCCAGGCCTTCGCTATGGTTTGCTAAGCCGTGGTGGTGACCTACAGGAGTAGTTTGAATTGCCAGTGTGTCACTTCTTGGGCCTTATGCAAGTAAAGGAATGGACGCTGGTCAACTGACCCCAGTCCAGTGTTGAGGAATGGCCTCAGCTGCCATTCTAGCCACGCCCTCTGATGCATTTCACCCCGCCCACTAGGGCTTGGTCACACTGCATCCATCCCTTTACTTGTATTGGCTGACACTGGAATTGCTCTGACTCATGCTCCCCTCTTCTCACTTGCCGGTGGGGTGATCCCTTTCCTTCCATCCATAGCTTGGAGACACACCATAAGGTATACTTCTTGGGGCTTGTTATTAAATGAGGCAGTGGCCGGATGGATATATATACTGTAACTTCTTCATAAAGAACTGTAGGCATATGGAATATTTTGCACCAATACGTTTGAACAACTGGGCAGGTCCACCAAATGTGGATA